GCCGCGGCCAGCATACGAATCGAAGCTCCGACGACTCGCTTTTGCAATCCCGGCGCGAACAGTAGCAAATTCGCGAAGATTACTTCGTTCTGGCGCATCTCGGCATTGACCCATATCAAATCGGAGCCCGGTTCATAATACCCATCCTTGTTCGAAGCTAGAATTAAGTTACCCATTACTTTTCGGTATCGAACCAGCAAGCTCGAAGCTTCTCGAACCCGGATTTGGAAGCTCAAGCCTCCTCGGCGTCGAACCACTCCTTACCCAAGAGGTTTTATGGTGAGATAGTAGGTAGCGGATCATCTAAACTCACTTTCGATGCAAACTAAGTGTTTCTAACATGAATTCTAATCGAGTTTGGTTTGCTTTTGGATTTAGGAACCCTTCGGTGAACTTGGTAGCGCATTAGAACTTTGTTGTAAGTAGTTCTTAYTTGGGGGATGTTTGTTGATTGAATATGTATCAATTGTGTGGTGCTTTCGGTGTGTTTATTATTTATTAATATGTAAGTTAATAGGTTTTATTGAGATGGTTTCGTGCTTAACTTTGCTATACTTGAATATCTCATGTATTTAGAGTTTGTTGGACATCATTTGAGGACTTCTAGTTGTTATTGTTGGGTTGCATCCTTGTTGTTTCCTTTGTTCCCTTCCTTTTACATATTAGGAAAATATCTTGTGTCATGATTATTGGATGTGCCTTGAAAGTTGCTGCTCGGTATGGTTGGAAGTGATTAAGCTTTGATGTTTGAAAGCAGGTCTTGGGATTGAAAATGCACGTGATAGTTTTATGTTGTTTAGTTTATGTTTGCTTAGTTGGAAGCTACGGGATTATTTTCTTGTTTTGCACGATGAAGAGCATGTTGGATAATTGTGTCTTGATTAGATGTGTGAATGGCTTGTCGATGCATTTGAAAGATTGGAATTGGTGGCCTATCGAGTAATGAAAAGTAAGTAGACGAGGGGCGGGTGCGTGCGTTGATGTTTATTATTTGGTTGCCATTGTGCTGTTTTATGATGTTTAATATTGATTTCGATACGTTATTGTGCAGTGTAACTCTTGTTTATGTTGGTTTATGTGCCTGAGTAGTGTTGCATATCCGTCGGTGATAATAGTGGAAATTTTGTATTGTTGAGCTGCTGATATCTGATGTGGAATGATGTATGTTGCAGGGAATGCTCGTTAAAGTGGACTTATTGTGGAGATGTTGTTGTCTGAATTTTGCATAAGATGTTTGGCGTGTCTGATGTGTTTATTCATGTCTAGCAATGTTTATTGAATACTGATGTTGGATGATTTCTTCGAATGTTGGATATTAAATGTTTGGATGAATTGTGTTGGGCGTGTTCTTAAAAGTTTTCTGAATCGCTATGTGAAAAGTATGTTATGTGAAGCATGCCATAGGGTTATTTGTTGAAGCTTTTGTGTACTTTATGTTGTGATCAGGTTAGTTGCTGTCAAACTTTGTGTTTTTGAGATCTGTGATGCATTGGAATCATACTAGTGGTTGTGTCTTGATGGGCGTTGTGGTGGTTGCTGTAATTAGGGAAGTAGTACTGAAATCCTGGTTGGAGGCTAGAAATGATACGTGGAGTTATGAAAGTTACGAAGTGAATGGGTGAGTGTCAGGGCCTCGGGTATAAATGGTCGAGGGCTGATACGTCACTAATTGGGTATCGAGGCCTCGGGTATAAATGGTCGGGGGTCGATACGCCAATATTGGATAAAGAT